ACGGGACCGCCGTAATGGTGGGACCAGCCGCGCCAGTAGATTTAAAGTTGACGTCTACGTGTACCTTATACAAATTTGCATCGATCCATGTGATCTCTTGCACTTGATGAAGCACGTCGAGTGTCACCACCCCCTCTCTCTATCCACCAGTGGGTGTAGGCGTGCAGTTGTGAGCTTGCCAATGGCTAGGGCTTGCTGGAACCTGAGCGCGCGAAGCGCGCGCGCGCGTGGTTTTTGTAAGATGCTAGACGCTTCGCGTAACCGCACCATCCCATCTAGAAACGACGCCCAGGCGAGTTGCCCTGATCAGGTATGTGGGGGAGCACGCAGTGGAATAAAGGCTGGGAAGCCGTCATACCTCAAGAGGGGGAGGATGGAGGAGGAACCAGCGGAGGAGGAGGAGGAGGAGAAGGAGGAGGAGGAGGAGGAAGACGAAGAAGAAGAAGACGAATAATAATACGAATCATCATAAAAATCAGAATAAAAATGATATTATTAATATTGTTCGTAATGATAACAGTAATGCTTGTAATTTTAATAACAATATTAATACAATACTACTGATACTCATAGCATTATGAATAATAATACTAGGAATAATAAGCATACCTAAAAGAAGAAGAGGAGGATGATTAGGAGGAGGAAGACGCTGCTGGACTCTGCTGAGATGCACGCACGTGCGATCACGCGTCAGGGCGGGCGGGCCCTGGGGTGGTTCCTCCTGCCACTTTCGCCACCTCCAGCCCGCCCGCTCTGCCTTCCCCTCTCGCTGCCGTCCGCCGCCGCCGTCGGCACAGGTGGGGCGGGGCAAGGCACGGGGCGGTCCTCCTCCAGCGGCATCGCCGCCGCCAGCTCGCTGGCCGAACGCACCGAGGAGATCGCTTCATACTCACTAATTACTGGCCTCCCGAACGCATCCCCCCCCTGCACAGTTCTTTCCTGCATCGAGGGCGGGTGGGAGGAGGCCTCAAGAGAGTCAAGTGCCACAGCCGTCGCCAGAGCCGCAGGTGGACCACGATCCGACGGGAAGAGGCCTCTCCGAATTCTCTTGAGATTCCCCCCCCCCTTTACCAGGGGGGGGCACCGATCACGTAGCCATCGACCGTCAGTCGTGGCTGTGAAGCCGCAGTGCTGGCAGAACGTCAAACCGAAAGCCTTCATCCTGGCCAGGCGGTGTCTAGGGTGCAACTTCACCGAGCCGACCCACGCCTCCCCCGAGATCGCCTCGAACCCATCACCGAATTCAGTCGACAAGCCAACCTGACCGTCCGAGTCCGACCGTGGCGGCGGGAGGCGAGGAACACACGGGGACGAGGCGACCTCGAGGACCGGGTTCCGCGGAGCAGTTGTTCTGTACAGCACACATCGCCAGCGGCTCACAAGGGATTTGATCTGGTAGGAACTACGTTGGATACACTCCTCAAACTTCGTGAGCTTCTTGGGCTTGGGCTGAGCTGGCGGGCGAACTCCCTCCCACGGTTCGACTGCCAAAGCCCTCAGTGGAGCTTGCCCAGCCCGCTTCCTCACCAGTGCCGCCTTCGTATCCCCAGGCCCACCATGCACGTCGGCACCGGTGTTGCCCTGACTCAGAAACACTTCACACTCAGAGGTGACAGACTGCAGCTCATCCTCGGTGTGGGAAGGGGTCCAGAGCAGAGAAACATCCCCCATAGCCGCGGGCCTCCAAGGCCCGAGCAGCTCTTTCACAAATCTCCATTCAAGCCCCGAGGAGAGGAGGAGGAGGAGGAGGAGGAGGAGGAGGACGGGGAGGAGGAGGAGGCGGAAGACCAGCGGAAACCCACGAGTTATCAACGATGTTGAAATAAAGCCTCCCTCCAAGATCCCTCTTCATAGGCCCCTACAACGGTTCATTTCCACTACGGGAGCTGCCTCGTTGGAAGACCAACCGTTTGAAGACCCTGAAGCATGCCAACGTATTGTTTTTGGGATTCCAGCGCCACGGATCAACCTGACTGTTGCGTCTTGACGATCTTAAATCGTGCCAGAACATCATTCCTGGGACTTCAACACCGCGAACCAGCGTAACTGCTGCACCCTCATAATCCTGAATCATTCCCGAACACCGTGTCTGGTTTGTTGATCATGGGAACCAGTGAAACCCATTCAAGTTTTTAAAACGAATGTGCGCGGCGCTAAGGCGAGGGCCACATTTTGAAAACCACCCGCCCTCCATCTGTGAAGCTGTTGTCATTCTTTAAGTTTCAGGGTCGTAAGTGGTGGGGAAGGCTCAGGCGAATCGCCCGGCCCGCCCTAAAAACTGGCCTCGGGTTGCGACAGGGAGAAGTTATGTACAAGGAAAAGGAATGGAGGAGGAGGAGGAGGAGGAGGAGGAGGAGGAGGAGGAGGAGGAGGAGGAGGAGGAGGGCGAACATAAAGGCCAGAGGCCTCATGGAGGCTTCTCGGAGTCTCATCGGATTTCACTGGAGAACTTTTTGCAGGCCTGTCGAGGCGTCTAGGGGTCCTCTTGGCGGCCCCAGGC